GGGGAGGGAGGGGAGGGGAGGGGAGGGGAGGGGGAGGGGGAGGGAGGGGAGGGGAGGGGAGGGGGAGGGGGAGGGAGGGGAGGGGAGGGGGCCTCACCCCTGCTTCAGGGACCTGGCATCGCAGCCCGAGGGCACCTGCTCTGGACCTTTCCTTCCGTCCTTCTCCCCCCGCACAAAGTTCACCTGCCGAACTCCTGCTCTCGGAGGGGCAGCCATGCAGCCGTGAGCCCGGTGAGCCCGTGGCCCTGAGACAGCTGACCTGTCCGCACCTGGAATCCCGTGTCAGTCCAGCTGCAGGGCACGGGCCTCCAGGTCGGGGTCCACCCCAGATCACAGAAGGACCCCAGCAGGGTGGCAGTGGCTGACAACTGTGGACCGTGGAGCCGGTGGCCCCGGCAGGTGGACCTGTCAGCGTGAGCGGCTCAGCGACGGGGACAGGCGGGCTCTCCATCGCCCTTCTCAGCAGAAAGAGTGAAATCACCGCAGGCCTCGACCTTTGATTGGGGTGCAGACAGGCCAGTCTCCCGGTCCCTGAGGTGGGACAGGAGGACTCGGACCAAAATGGCAGGGGGACAAACACACCTGCCCTCCCGGCCCGGCCCGCCCCTGCGGGATCCACAGCAGGATGGGCGGACGCTGGGTCTGTGGATCTGATGTCTGTTTCACTGGGAGCCATGAATCCTTCCTTCTCCGTCTTTGCCAGGCTTGTCACTGAGCAGAACCGGAATTTATCGGAATAAAGAACCGTGTGATTCTAGCCGAGGTAGCTCCCCTTGGTAACTACAGGAAGACGTTTCCATCTCGCTGGGTCACTCCTTTCTCAGCCGACAGCCCGGAGGTCTCCACAGGGTCCTGCACGTGCCGGGGACGCTTCCCTCCCATGAGCCTAGGTGTGTGCGCTCCTGCCGGACACGCTCTGGGGGGGACACACCCTGGGGACGCTCCGGTGCCCTCTCTACCCCCGTTTAACCCTGGAGGGCCAGCGTCGAGCCTCGCCTGTCTGTGTCAAAGGGGTCTGAGGACTGTTTTGGAAACATGACTGAATGCATTTTCCCCTGAAGCTTCTGAGTGACGTTCATGCCCAGAGAAGGACCAGGCCTCGCAGCTCACCTGCTGCCTCAGAGCCTCCACAGTCCCAGGAAGGGATGCTGGGAGCAGGTCCCGGGAGGAGCAGGCCGTGCTAAATGTCAGAGAGGATAAATGCCCCTCCCTCCAGGGACTAGGATCCAGGAAGTGGCAGGGCTTTGCTGCACTAGGGTTTGGGGTGGTAAGCAAGGACCACAAACCGGAGGCCTGAGGCCGAGGTGTCCGACCCTGTAGTTTCCGCCCTCACCTCCTCCGCTTTGGGTGCTGCCAGCAGCCCCGGTGCCCGCAGGGGACGCCTGACCCCAGTCTCTGCCTCTGTCTTCACGTGGCTTCTCCCTGGGCCTGCGTCCACATCTCCCCGGTTTACAAGGACACCAGTCATTTTGGTGTTAGGGCCGCTCTAACAACCTCCCCTGCACTTGATTCTCTCTGCAAAGGCCCCATTTCCAAACAAGGCCGGGTTCCCGGGCTCCGAGGTTCCCACCTCAGCACACCTTTCTGGGGGATGCCCAGTAGATGCCCCGATGGTCCTGCGTTCCAGACACGATCTTAGCAAGCCTCCCGAGTCCTGCCCACAGCTCTCCCAGAGATGCCTGAACTTAAATTAAAAACAAGGAAAAATAGCACAGAAGAAAGCAGCTTTTTTTCTATAACGTTTTACCTCTAATAAACTACAAAATTGTGCAAAGTAGCTGAAGTGTTCACTTTAGCAGCAATTTGTGTGAGACGTTGCCATGAGTCCAAACTTTTGTGCAAGAACCTCATATTTGTGACCTTTGACCCCATAACACTTTTAGGATTTCAAGAAAATAACCATCGAGTCAGGCAGGGGCGCACAGGACTTTGCCACAGCATTCCTTGTAGTATTAAAAAATTAGGAACTTACAAGTTCAGCAGAGGAATGGGCCACTTTATTATGGGGTAACCACAGATTGGACTACATTGCTCACAATGTAATAGTGAAAAACAGAGTCTCAAAGTGTATATACAGAATTATCTCCAGTGTATAAATATATGCACGTAAAGCCTGAAAGAAAATACATCAAGATGTTAACAGGAGCTCTCTCTGGGTGGCAGAAATATAAGTCATCTAAATTTCTTCTGTATACTCTCCTGTATTTTCTTAATTTTCTACAGTAAATAGAAATTACATTTATATAGAACAAAAAGGCAGGAACATTATTTCAAAATAAATACAGGTTATTTTCTGACAGCCACAAAACAATGGGGAACCAGTCAGAACAATTTTGGCTTTTGAGGGCTCTTCATGACACGCATGTTCTGTGACTGCCCAGGGACTGCTGGGCTCCGAACCCATGCAACTTGAGAAAAATCAGTGGAAAAAAAGGACTCTGGGGCCATCTTGAAACACTTATCTGTTACGTTTCAAACGTTGCTTGAGCGATGTGAGCCTTGGGGATGTGAGTGACAACGATGCCTCCTACGGAAGATGTGACAATGCCGGGCAAGGGTCTCTCTCCCCTTCTCCGTGCGTTTCAGGAACCCACATCCCAAGGCCAGCATTGCAGCCCAGCCTGCGGGTGCTACGATGTGTGAGAGTTTATCCCATGCACACAGAGAAAGCAGAGCAATGTGGAAGTGTGGACCCTGCGCAGAGGTCCGGATGAGCAGCCTGGGGTCGTGTGAGGTGCGTGAGAAGCAGGTGTGGACAGACCGAGGGGGTGCACGCTCCCTCTGTCCACACTGGCTCTCCTCTCCCTGTGACCCTGTCCGACTCCAGGATAACACACCTGCTTCACGCGAAGCCAGAACTTCCCCGTGAGCTCAGAGACTGACGTCCGTCTCGGAGCATCCAGGGGGAGCATCAATCCGCAAGGGACCCCGTTTACTTCTCCAACCTTGACGTCTGTGGGGTTTGGTCATTTTCCCTTTGAAGGGCTCTCACCTCTGAACCTTTCCCTCATATTAAAACCCTTTGTAACAGGAAAATTTTGCTATTCCTGCTTTTATGAGCTCGTCACCCCTTTACCTCTGCAGGTATGAGATGTCTTCTCCTGTAAAAATGAACAGTGAACAGTTTGGGGGTTTCTCAGAGACATTGTTCAATCTGTCCAAAGGGTCCGATGGTCATAACACACCTGTCAGTAGAGCACCAGGTCACTCCTTGCAGCACCTGTGGGCCTCGTAAACCCAGGACGCTGAGACCAGAGCCGGCTGAGTCTGGGGGAGCTGGAGGGGTTGAAAAGGGAAGCTTTTGTCAGTGGATCGACATCTACACGATGGCGAAACCCTCACCGCATCACTCCATAAAGAAGAAAAATTCAAACTCTGATCCCTTTCATGCTGGTCACTTACCGCTATAGAAAAGGATTATAGATACAAATGGACAATTGAACTATTTTTTGAATGTGAACCAATAAACCTCAGTTATTTTCGAATTTTGGACTTGTTCTTAGGCTTCAGTAAGAGAAAGGTGGTTTTCTGAGATTTGAGGACTGAGAGCTGTGTGTCTAGGGCCAGGGGACAGGGGCTTTTTCTTCAAGAGAAACCTGTCTTTGGTCTTTTTCTACCAAAATGTATTCTCCGTTCACATTTTTTTTTTTTTTTTTGGCTTGGCCCATTATTATTTAGAAGCATTCTCAATCACCTCTACACCAATAGAGTTAAAAAATCAAAACCTCAAAGTGAAAACTAGGGTCCTCAGTTTTAAAAATAGAATTTTATGTGCCTTCATTTTCAACGTTTGATTTAAAATCATGATCTCATACAAGGGAGTTACAAAGTCTGAAACCACAGCCAGCTAGCGCTTGGCTTCTCCAGGCTCTGCTCTTGGGCACAGCTCTCTGCAGGTCTTCAGCAGCTGGCGTCGGGGATGCCGTCCCGGGGCCCCTCCGAGCGGTCCCGCGTTTGCGGCCTCGTCATCCTCATCGCCAGCATCACCAGCACCATCATCGTAGCACACATCGACTGGCTGCCCAACAAGTGCCACCACTTATTAACCAAGCCCCGCAAAGTTCTGCACAAACACTGAAGCTTAAGTAACATGCTGAGGTTCTGTGGCTATTAAGTCCTGGACTGTCCCACTCTGTAACCTAGAGCTGAACCGCTCCACGTCCGGCCATCTTGCAGAACGTTGCCCACAGTTGGAGGTGGAAGCCTCCTCTTTCCTTCCTGCCCAACTGTGTTTTGTGAGCACAAGGACGTATCCAAGGAAGCAAACCCCTCCTTGTGGTGGTGATTTTGTGTAGACACACAGTCACTTGGCAAGGCTGCAGTTATAGAGACGGTCTAACACCGGCTTGAACGTTAAACTGAGCGGTAGTTGCAAACCTTGCTTTTCCAAATCCTGGGGCCTCCCTGGGGCCACGGCGGAGCTGGGGTGTTTGGGTTGGGGGGCATCCAGACCCACTCCCCTCTTCCGGTAGTGCAGCCCAAGGGTGATATGTGTCTTCACTCCGGGCTTTCTCACTAAATTGAGTTTGGAGAAGGGATAGCATGGCTAGGATGTTTGAAAAACACTGGGACTGATGGTTTTTAAGGTTGTTTTTTTATTTGGGGATTTGATAATTTTGTAGTTTGATTCTTAGATATTCAACGGCAAGAATTTATCATTTTGCCAACCACAAATATTTATGCCAGTTTTTAGTTGGCTAAGTGGCTATGAAGGGTCAGCCATGGGCACGGCTCTGACCTACGAGACACGGCGAGAGGGCTCAGCGGCAGAGTGGACATACCTGGCAGGTGACCTCATGGGTGACCAGGTGAGGACAGGCTGAGGCTTTAGTCATCTGGAGTAAACCTAGAGGGAAGAAATAAACATTTCCCTCTAGAGAAACTGTGCAGAGAGAAAATGTAAAGCTTCTGATAGCCTTTGAAATAAAAAGGTATATTTTGCGATGAAATGAGAATAAGAAGTGCAAATTTCAGAGGGAGACTAGAAACCGGTAGGAAACCACGACTCTGTGGACTCGGGCTCTTTGCTGCTCCTGGGATGGGAGACTGCTTTCCTCCAGCAGCTTGGTCGGTGAGCTGAGAGCTTTCCTCTTCCTGCTTCAGAGGGCAAGCTATTCACTAAGGGTTCCTTGGCCCTGCGGTCTCTTTCACCCGAATCTTTCCCCTCCCTGGGGACGTTGTACCATCCCCACCTGTATGTGAAGCTCCCTCTACTGACGTGACAGCTTCTACAACGAGCAGGGATCTGTGTTCCTCGCCTCCCTGAATGCGCCCAGTGGATGCTACGAGCTGAGCTTGGCAACAACTGAACATAAATGAGGAAGGAGGTCTGTCCTCCCTACCAGGAGCTGACTGGAAAGCCTTCCGGATGTCAAGTCCCCCGAGGGCCCTGAGGCCGTCTGTGACAGCTGGCTCTGCGGGTGGGTTTCCTCCCGAGGTCACAACCGTGTCTGTCTGCGTGTGTGTCCCGCAGGAACATGGCGTTTTGCTCTCAAACTCTTACCTGGAAAGACAGATGCATACAGCAGGAGTCCAGGTGTCCACTAGGCCAGATCAGAATCCCACTCCGCCTCGACCACGATCAGGTCACCTTGTCTCTGCGACTCACTGGCCCCAGGTGTGCTGCCCCGCCTCCTGCCCCCAGCCCCGCTGAGGCTGCCAGGAGCACAGCTGCCCACGCGGGGAAGAAGCTGCCAGGAGATAATGCACATTAAACTCCCCGTCCCTTCGTCGCTCAGATTCCTCAGGATACTTCTAACAACATCACACAGCTCCACGAAGCCTTGCTGTTTGCAAACACTGGAAGGGCATTTGGAATGTAGATATTTATCTATACTGAAATTTCAGAACATATTTATCCAAAATCTGGTGTCTTCAAGATCTCATTTCCGCGAGAAGATGAAAGCACTGGACCTCGCCCACCACTCTCCCCCAGCACACTGCATCCCCACGTGGTGCTCCCTCACGGAGAGGCGGATGGGGACCGCAGGCCTGAGGCGTCTAGGGGACCGAGCAGGTGGGAAGGGTGTGGACCTCTGACCGATGTCCTGGGGGGGGGACCATTTCCTCCCCCCAGAAAACCACTACTGTCCGGTTGCTAAAGCCAGAAACTTCCAGAGCTTCATCTTCACTAGAGGCCCCGAGGCCCGGGTCCCTTTCTGGGTCAGCGCCTCCTTTCTCACCCCTGCTTCTGCCTCAGCCAGTCCTCCTGCAGACAAGGCCCTGCCTGCAAACCCGTCCCTCTGCTTAAGCACTGCTCACCACCCCTCGCTGACAGAGACCTCGAGGTCCCCCCGAGGCACCACCTTAGGGCTCCGGCCCCTCCCTCACTGCTTGTTAGCCACGCGGGGCTGCTTGCTGCTTCCCAAGGGAGCCAGGCTTGCCCTGCCCCAGGGCCTTTGCATGAGCGGTCCCTGTGCCTGGCGCATGTCTCCCCCAGGAGCTGCAGGAAGTTGGATGTCGCTGCCTGGGGCGGGGATGCCGCCCTGGGCTTGTATAAAATAGCACCCTGCCCCCCACTTCCCTGACTGCTCCCCGTGGTTCTTACCAGCACTGATGTATTTTGTATGCCTTGGTTGATTGTCCTTTATTACTAGCATTGAAGGTCCCGAGGGGAGGGGAGACGAGCTCTACCCGGTCCCCGCGCCCGCCCCCCCCACACACACACAGGGCAGGCATGGCAAGTGCAGGCGAGGAATTAGTCAACATCAGCAGAATGCTGATGCCCTCATTTTGGTTTCCTGTCGAGCAGAAACATTTCTTCCCACTGCATATTAACTTACAGAAGAGGGGCGGGGAGAGAAGAAGTTCCTAGAACTTAAAGGCACTTGATATTTTTTATTAGCAATAAGGAGTCTAAAGTTTTCACTGTAAAAGTAAAATGTTTAAAAACGAAAGAATCCGTGTTGCAGACAGAGGGACGGCCCGTGGTAGAGGCACAAGGCAGGCAGGAGGTGCAGACACCGGTGTCCGAGCTTCACAGTCTTTGAGGAAAGGGGTGATTTATTTTTTTAATGTCAAATGATCCCATGGATCTTGGTCAAAGCTGTAATTCAACATCTGACCTTTGGAGGGTCTGAAATATTCAGAAGGACACTGTTTTTCTGTACCAGCCTCTTTTCCAAGTTTATTTTTATTTCAAAATTTTAAATTATTAAAAACAATTTAATTGCTAGATTTAATGTCTCATCTAAGCAAGTTTACTAAATTGGAGACTAAACTTTTCCAGCCTCCCCAACCGTTTAGTTTTAAAGCACATTTGGCGCCTCTGGAGAGACATGAATTTTTCCTAGACAAGGTTTTTATGGTTTCATTTTGTAACATTTAACTACATGCTTGATGAAGAAACCACAAAAACCTCATGAACCTACACGCAATAATGTCAGATGAAATCGCTGGTTTTGCTCTGGGCTTCAATATTGCCAGATGACTTCAGTCAAAACCATGCAAATTAAGACAAAAACTAACCCGGGGACCAAATGAAGGGTTTGGAGACCCCACCAGCCGGTGGGTCATCCGAGCGCAGCCCAGGACCCCAGGGTGACATGACTGCTGCTGGCACTGCCCTCTCTAGAAAGAAGCCCACCCCCAGGCTGCCCTGTGGTCCCTCAGGGTGGCAGGCCCTGCTGTGAGATTAACGAAAATCATGGTTTCATAAATATTCCGAGAAGCAGGAAAACCCAGCAGGCAGCATTCCCAGGCCCAGCCAGAGTCTCCCACCCAACACGTCCCCTCCGAGACTCGCCCAGATCCCCGGGGGGTGAGGGATGCCAGCCCCACCAGCTACAGCGGAGAAGATGCCTCGACATTGTTCTCAGATACTTGGTGGACACTTTCCAAACGCCACAGCTTCCTTGGAAAGGTCACCTTTGATTATTAAAGCTTAGTTTACCCATTCTTGTGAGGAAACGGAACTTGGATCAAAATCTGGTCTCCAAACATTTCAGCCAGACGGATTTCTGTGCACAAAACCTCAGACACCCAGCTCAGGGGCTGTTATTAAAGCAGTAACCCTGAAAGGACTCCTGTCCCAGAGCAAGAAGGGTGAATGCAGACACGTATCGCCTGATTGAACAGGGCGTGGATGGTCCAGGCAGGGACGTGGTCTGGCTATGGGAGGAGGGGCTCCCACCTGTGTGCTGGGGCTCTGGCCTCGATGCCCCTCGCGCCCCTCCCTCAGCTCCCCTCCCACCTCCGTCCCCGCCGAAGCCCCAGGAAGATTTCCTGAAACCTCACTTTCTTGCAAGATTCAAACTTCCCCGTGAGAATCATCGTCTGTCAGCTTTGCTTTCTCTCCCTGAGCTCAAAACCAAGCTCCTTAATGCCTGGACCCTTCCCAGGGCTCCCCAAAGTGCCCCCCCTGCTGGCTGTCCTGCCTTCCCATCTGTGATCTGCGGGTCTTCTCACATCCAGGAAGGTGGCGGGAGGGAGAGGCCAGGGGAAGGAAGGACGAGGGGAGTGAGACAACTGATTTGAACCTGACTGGACAGGGGAGTGGCACGGTGTGTCCTTTGCATACGGGTGCTCGGCTGTTTGTCTCTCAGCTTCGGGGGGCTGGGGGGCACCATAAACCCTCCACCTGTGCTGGGACCTGGGCCTTCAACACACGAACAATCAGGACACAATTGTCAGCCCAAATGCAAAGTCTATGGCCAGCTGAGCCCCGGCTGGAGAAGATGGCAGGTTGTGGGCAACTTCACTCAGGGGGGACAGCGAAGCCGGGACTCAGGGGGACCCCAGAAGGCACCACAGGGGGAAAGCCCTCCTGGAGGTCGGGCCAGATGGTGGTGGGCAGAGGTCGGAGGGTGAAGGTGGGACGATGGCTTATCCTCCCAGTGAGTCAACCTGCCCGCTGACAGATGGCAGAGGTCTGAGTGCTGGTCAGAGCGTAGGGCTCCCATCCCCACCTGGAGGCCTCTTCCCCTCAGGTCATCAGTGTCGGTTTCCAGTTCATCCATCGCATCTTCTCAGCCCCGCCGGAGCACCCGGGCGGTGTTCAGCCATCCTGACAGTTCCTTGAGGAGCCATGGTGGCTGTGTCCTGAGCACACACAGCGTCACACGGGGTGAGGACCTTCTACTGTCCTTTCGGAAGCCCTGGGATCTGCATTCAGTGATGGGAAAGCTGTCGGGTATCACACACACACACATGCACACGCATGCGCATGAGCACACGCACGTGCACACACACGCACACACGCGCACACACGCACGAGCACGCGTGCACACACAGACCCAGTGCTCAGCAGAGCAGCCCTGACGCCGCCCACTTCTGCATCTCTCCGCAGTGCTGCGCGACCCCTTCCTCAACCTCTGTTTTCCAGGAAAACACCTGGTCCCAGTAGGCTCGCCGCGGGCCCACCAGCCCCTCCACGTTCACCTCCTGTCTCAGTCCGTTCACCGCCAGAGCAGGATGCCACACACTGGGGGACTTGTCTGCCGCAGACACTGGTTCCTCACAGTCCTGCAGGCTGGACGGGAGATTCAGGGTCTGGTGAGGAAGTGGGAGCCCACCTCCTGGTTCACAGACCCACACCTTCCCGCCATGTCGTCGGGTGCTGGAAGGGGCCAGGGGCTGTGTGGGGTCCCCTTGAAAGGGCACTGATCTCATTCTCGGGGGGCTTTACCCTCTTGACCTCATCACCTCCCGCATTAACCGTCACCTTGGGGTTAGGGCTTCAGCACACAGGTCGTGGGGAGGGGCACAGACACTGAAACCACAGCACCTCCTTCCCTTATTCTGCCACCTACATGTTCCCCCTAAGATTTCAGCCTGGAGCTTAGTCATTACAGTGACTCATTGCTCTTGTCAGTGCCAACCTTTTTCTCCACACTTTACATCGTCACAACATTTCAGCTTTTCTCCATGGAGCCACGATTTGCTTTCTGATTTTGAACTGATTGTTCTGTGTTTTCTTGAAATAGCAGTTGTATTTATTTATGACACGAAATGATAAGCCTAGACTTTCAAAATAATGATGTCAAACCCGTCCTAATAAATGTCAAAAAAAGAAAATGCAAAGAACAAAACACACAGTAATTTCATTTCATAATTGCGAAAGTGTTGCCGAGGTTCTGGTCTGAAAGTAATGTAACAGTCAGCCTCCCTGACCTGTGTTTATCATAAACACCGGTTTTTAGAGCTCCTCTCATGGCCCTCGACTGACCAGCATGGTTTCTTTCCCATAACAGAAATATCAAATCATAAACATAATTCCAGAGAGACATGTGATAGATAAAAAAAAAGGTCGTAGCAAGTGAAAGTAGGGGATGATTTAATGAACTGATATTATGATGAATTTTTAAATGATGGGTATAGTTAAGGAAGTGTTCTTGCTAAATTTATAACTAGATTATGTTAATATTCTAGACATTGTCAATAAAAAATTGAAAAAATATTGAATGTGTACTTTGATTTTTTTCCCGTTCAGATTTTCTTATTTTTTTTGTGTTGAAGTATAGTTGACATACAATATTATATACGTTACAGGTGTACAATATAGTGATTCACAGTTTTTCAAGGTTATGCTCCATTTATAGTTACCATAAAATATTGGCTGTATTCCCTGTGTTGTACAATATTTCTTTGTAGCTTATTTTACACATAATAGTTTGTACCTCTTAATCCCCAACCCTTCTATTGACCCTGCTCCCTTGCCTCTCCCCACTGGTGACCATTAGTTTGTTCTCTATATGCAAGAGACTGTTTCTTTTTTGTTATATTCACTAGTTTGTTGTACTTTTTAGATTCCACATGTAAGTGATATCATACAGTATTTGTCTTTCTCTCTGACTTATTTCACTTAGCATCATACTCTCCACGTCCATCCATGTTGTTGCAAATGGCATTATTTCACTCTTTTTTATGGCTGAGTAATATTCCATTATATATATATATATATATATATATATATATATATATATATATACACACATACCACATCTTTATCCACTCGTCTGTTGATGGACACTTAGGTTGCTTCCATATCTTGGCTATTGTGAATAGTGCTGCTATGAACATTGGGATGCATGTATCTTTTTGAATTAGTGTTTTTGTTTCTTTCAGGTATGTATCCAAGAGTGGAATTCCTGGATCGTATGGTAGTTCTTTTTTTAGTTTTTTGAGAGACCTCCGTACTGTTCTCCATAGTGCCTGCACCAATTCACATTCCCACCAACAGTGCTCAAGGGTTCCCTTTTCTCCACATCCAGGCTGACATTTGTTATTTATTGTCTTTTTGATAATAGTCATTCTCACAGGTGTGAGGTGACATCTCGGTGTGATTTTGATCTGCATTTCCCTGATGACTAGTCATGTGGAGCATCTTTTCATGTGCCTCTTGGCCATTTGTATGTCTTCTTTGGAAAAATGTCTATTCAGGTCTTCTGTCCATTTTTTATTTTTTTTTTCATGTTGAGTTGTATGTGCTGTTTATCCATTTTGGATATTAACCCCTTATTTGTCATATCATTTGCAAATATTTTCTACGTATACTCCAATTTTTATAAATCGATATTTTAAACTACAACCATAATAACTAACATTGATTGATACACTTAAACTGTGTCAGATATTCTTCTGAGTTTTACGAACGATTCAGTCTTTATTAAAATTTTAATATTACATTCTTAATTTTTAGTTGTATTTATTAACAATTT